CTCCAAACACGACAAGTTGTGTTTCTACCAAACAGTTCTATTTTGGTTTCATCTGACCATATGACATTCTCCAAATCCTCTTCTGGATCATCCAAATGCTCTCTAGCAAACTTCAGACGGGGCCAGACATGTACTGGCTTAAGCAGGGGGACACGTCTGGCACTGCAGGATCTGAGTCCCTGGCGGCGTAGTGTGTTACTGATGGTAGCCTTTGTTACGTTGGTCCCAGCTCTCTGCAGGTCATTCACTAGGTCCCCCCATGTGGTCCTGGGATTTTTGCTCACCGTTCTTGTGATCATTTTGACCCCACAGGGTGAGATCTTGCGTGGAGACCCAGATCGAGGGAGATTATCAGTGGTCTTGTATGTCTTCCATTTTCTAATTATTGCTCCCACAGTTGATTTGTTCACACCAAGCTGCTTGCCTATTGCAGATTCAGTCTTCCCAGCCTGGTGCAGGTCTACAATTTTGTTTCTGGTGTCCTTCGACAGCTCTTTGGTCTTCACCATAGTGGAGTTTGGAGTGTGACTGTTTGAGGTTGTGGACAGGTGTCTTTTATACTGATAACAAGTTCAAACAGGTGCCATTGATACAGGTAATGAGTGCAGGACAGAGGAGCCTCTTAAAGAAGAAGGTACAGGTCTATGGGAGCCAGAAATACTTATTTTCCACCATAATTTGCAAATACATTCTTTCCAAATCAGCCAATGTGATTGTCTGGATTTTTTTTCTCATTTTGTCTCTCATAGTTGAGGTCTACCTATGATGCCAATTACAGGCCTCTCTCATCTTTTTAAGTGGGAGAACTTGCACAATTGGTGGCTTACTAAATACTTTTTTGCCCCACTGTATAAATGTAAAATATACCAAAAAAAGTCTGAAATAAAAACTTTTCTTTGTTATAAAATTTTGCAAATAAATACTCTTTCTTCATAAATGTTAGACCAGATGTATTCTGCTACATTTATTTGGAAAAAATAACTCAAATCAGTGTTTATTATCTTGTCTGTGTGAAAGTTATAGAATCTACAAACTATGAGATATACTGTATATTTAATTTCTTTAGGCGGTAAAATGCCTGGACAGTACAAATACCCCCCAATATAACACCATTTTGGAAAGTAAACACTCAAGATATTTAATAAGGGGCATGGCAAGTTTTTTGATGTTGTAGTGTTTTTGTCACACTTTTTTGTCAATTTAATTTTACATACTGTGACCAGAGCAATACAATGTCCCCATGGTCACACTGTACTACTCTGGGGAGGTGATCAGGATTTTGTAAAACTATGATTGCTTATTACAGTGATGATCACTGTTATAAGCCATTATTTTTATAAATGGCATCATTTATGTGCCATTCTGCACTTTTGTGATCTTTGTGGTTGGCCACAACTATCATATAATGCATGCTTGCTGTGATTAGTCCTGCACCATGTGATTACTGTGATCAGTAAACAATGCCTATGAATGAAAGCCACTGTGTACAACTGACATGTGATTGGTCACAGTGATCACATGGTACCAGGGCCATACACAGCGACCTGGTACAATGACCCGGTGAACACAGCAGGTCACAGATCCCAAGGGTTCACGAGCAGGAGGACATCATATGATGTCCACCCAAGTTAACAGTGTTCCCGTATTATTAAATTAGGCCAAACAAGACATGGTTAAATGGTGTATTAGAGACAGCAGGGAGATATTTAATAGAGTATTACAGAGAGCATGGAAGTAATAAGCATTATATTACCGAGATTAGGAGGATAATAAATAGTGTATTACAGAGAGCAGGAGAACATCGAGGTGACAGAAGAGACATTAATGAGTGTATTACAGAGAGCAGGAGAACATCGAGGTGACAGAAGAGACATTAATGAGTGTATTACAGAGAGCAGGAGAACATCGAGGTGACAGAAGAGACATTAATGAGTGTATTACAGAGAGCAGGAGAACATCAAGGTGACAGAAGAGACATTAATGAGTGTATTACAGAGAGCAGGAGAACATGGAGGTGACAGAAGAGACATTAATAGTGTATTACAGAGAGCAGGAGAACATCGAGGTGACAGAAGAGACATTAATAGTGTATTACAGAGAGCAGGAGAACATGGAGGTGACAGAAGAGACATTAATGAGCGTATTAAAAGAGAGCAGGAGAACATGGAGGTGACAGAAGAGACGTTAATGAGCGTATTACAGAGAGCAGGAGAACATGGAGGTGACAGAAGAGACGTTAATGAGCGTATTACAGAGAGCAGGAGAACATGGAGGTGACAGAAGAGACGTTAATGAGCGTATTACAGAGAGCAGGAGAACATGGAGGTGACAGAAGAGACGTTAATGAGCGTATTACAGAGAGCAGGAGAACATGGAGGGGACAGAAGAGACATTAATGAGTGTATTACAGAGAGAAGGGAGACATTAAAGCTGAACTCCAGGATTTCTATGTATTGCATACTAACATTCATCCAGATTGGCACAATGTATGTGTATCTTATTCCTGATGAATTGTTGGGGAAGGTGGAAATGTGTGTAGAAGATGGTGCTACTACATACAGAATATCCACAATACACCATATAATGACTTCTGGATCCTGCTCAGGTGCCCCACTGCACACTGACCACAGGGGGGGAAGGGAAGCATGTTCAGCACACCCGCCATTCATAGAACCCCTTGTTCAGGTTATTTATGATTGGATAAGTTGGAGATCAGCCCCTCCTGTCCACCTCATCCAGTAATGATGTGCTGAAATCAAGTTTGGTGAATTTCAAAACTCATCTCCACTTGTCACTTGCTGGAAGTTACAACATTGCAGTCTGATCAATGGGGAAGAGGAGACTAATGGCATCATCTCAACCGAGGAAAGAATTGCTGGACTGGAGCTCAAGGATACATTCTTAAGTCTCATTTACGCATACGATTCCCAACTCACTGGAAAAAAAACTTTCCCTCAATGTGTTCGGAGGACAGTACCACCCACTGAGAGCATCGGGGATAATGTTCACCGTGCTGCAATGCAAAACATCACAACCATGACATGTGTATACTCCTGTATGGCTGCCATGGGGGGCAGTCAGAAGGTGGTAAAATACAGCTTTTCAGGCTGTTTTTACTCCCCCCCAACTTCAAGTGTAAACTTATTCTTAGTAATAAAACATGAAGCTTTTCAGAATAAAATATTCTGTTGCTATAGATTGTGACATCAGGAATTTCATTTTCTTTCAGCTTTATGAAGTTACTGAAAGGACCTCTTTAATTTGTAAAAGCTACAAAGCTCTTTACAGTTCCCTAACATATAACTAAATTGTATTTGCCCTTGGTAAAGCAGTATGCATCAAATCTACAATTACAATACAACAGAACAAAGGGAATCAGATCAACCAAAGCTTACTCTGAACAATCTAGGGTGGGTCCTTCTGGAGAGACATCATCATCTCCCTCGCTGCTCAGTGAAAAGATTCCACCAATTATGATATCTCCAGCCTGGAATTGGTCCTCATAGTTACCAGTAGTTGTCCTTATTCTGAGATGACATGCAGTGGTAGGAGATTTCATCGTGGATCTGCATACTAAAATGAAAAGCACACTGCTATAAAACAGAACCTCCCGTAGATGAAACGTCCTCATGGTTCTTCTCATGATGATACAGAGATGCATTCACATTCAGTACAATGCAGATTGGCACTAGATCAGTTTCTATAGATCTCAGTATGAAAGCAGCAGGATGGTCTGTTATTCAGTGCATGTGAATTGATCTTCTTACTGTTCTTCACATCTTTTATACAATTTTGTGTTATATTTTTTGCTATACTGTCTGGTGCCACCAACCCAAACATGTTTATTAAAACTCTTATAATATCTTCAAACACATATTGGCTTTCTTAGTTATCTTCATATTTTTATTGAAGAGATTTGTCTTATGTTATTCCTGACACTTTAATCTTGAAATACAGAAGTGTAATTTATGGACATTTTCAACTAATCTTATTATTCAATTCAGAAGCCCAGCTCCAACCAAACCTCACCCCTGGCCAGTTGGATGGGCATCAGATGGAATAAGAAATGGGGGGGGACTCCCCCTGCTAGAACACAGATGGCTATAAATACACATGGTCACATAATATTGTTGCTGGTGTCCTATTGAGGAGACTTATTATCCATTTCTGTCATAGTAACTGGTGCCAGATAGAACAGGAATTCAGAGAAATCTCCCCAGCAGCCTTCCCCCATTCACCCCCAACCCTTAGCTTTATACAACTTCCTACCTACACCTTGTTTTTTCCCCTGCATAGGATGTACAATAATCATGTAGTATGATGGTGTCATTTGTTGCCCTGTACACACAGCCTATAGTAGAGTAAATCTTCCCATTCTGGTTTCAGAAGTCTCTGTTTGTGTTCAAACATGAAGCATGTGATATGGCACTGCACAGGTTAATGCATGTCCTTTGTAGTGTGAGAACTGACATTTCCTTTGGTGAAATGACATATCCCACAATCCCTGTGTCCCTTGGCCCAGTGTTCTGCAGGTGAGAGCTAAATAGTAATTAGATCTGACACAGACACAAGCAGGCAGAGCAATTACCCAAGAGTTCACCATGAAGTCTTTCATCACATTAGCTCTCCCACATCTGTGATGCAACACAGCAATGGTGAGGCATGGATTGGATGCTGCAGGACCCAGAACAAGACATTGCCTGCCCCTTTAACATATAGGGACACGCTAGGTAAATGAATACATGGACATAAGGGAACAAGCTAGGTAAATGAATACATGAACATAAGGGAACTGATCAGACATGACACTACAATCAGCAGCCACAACATGTGAGCTCATCATTACAAGGTAATGCAAACAAACAACACAGTGAACATAACTACACCAATACCTAGTTAAAACAACAATGTTTGAAAGTGCTTTTAAGAAAGACATTGCTAAATACATAACTATTTTTCTAAGTATCTTCAGTCCAGTTGCATGACATCAGTTTCACTTAAAATGTTACTAAGCCCACAACAGTAAAATCAGTCTGTATATGCAGTGAAGCATGCTTGTTATACGCGCTGTGGAACTTAAGGGGTTTATCTTCCACATTGTGTAAAAAGGCTGTTTGATCCTGTGTTCTCTGATCCTCCCCTTCTACTGTCCCCAATCTATCTCCTGATAGAACCGAGCCTTGTGGGAAAGCTTGGGGTGTATTGCTAGATTTTTTTTTTCTTGGGAGAGTGCATGTGCTCAGCACAGAGCCAATCAGAGCTTTCCAGACAGAGGGTCAGGGGTCCAACAGCCTCATTTAACAATCAGGGGAGAATGAAAACTTTGACTACAAGCTTTGACCAGTGCTCTGCTGGACACTGAAAGAAGTCACAAGACTGTTCTAACTGCTGATGAGAAAAGATATTTAGCAGTTTAGATTACTAAAATAATTGCATTTCCATGTTGTGTTCTGTGGGAGACCAGATATGGTGAATGCATGGTCCTGGGTTTAGTAACATATTAATTCTCTACTGTCCTTGGCAGTGGGTAGTCCTGTCTATAATGATGTGGCACTGCTCTTTGCAGAATTCTCCTAGCAGCCCAGGGTGACCTGATGATACACCCCAAGGGTTTGGGTCTTTGATGTTCTGTGCTCACAGAAAATGGAGGAATAGTATTGAGTGTCATTTGTTGAAGAAGAAGACTGGCGTTGAATCACATACTGGTGAGTCTGCAGAGAACAATGCTGTAGAAATATTGAGTATTGAAGAAGGAGCTCTATTTTTTATTTGATCAAAGTTTGAGACATTTTGTTTTCTTTCATGGAGTTGGGTCCAACTGAGCCCAATCCATGTCTTCCTACAACCCTGTACTGGGTGCATTTATTACACATCAGGAAAATTGCTAAAAATTACAAAATTATGCTCATCTGTAGTATTCATGCCTAGTCCAAGATGATGATGGTGGTGGTTAATACTGCAGCAGGTCTGAATGATTAGTACAGGTACTTATCACCCAAACCCTTTAGTTGCTTGTACTTTGGGGATACCAGCATTAAGAACCAATCTTCACTTATGGCAGCCTTTTTCAAACTTTTTAACATGAAGGAACCCTAGAAATAACTTTACGGTTAGGGAACAACCATAACTACCATTGCTACAACTCACAATGCAATTCCCAATCCTTGGGGAAAAAATGCTCCTTACATTTGTGGTCATTGGGCAGAATCCTGCCACCCCTAAAGATTGCTAATAAGGTCATTGTTGTTAGTAATTAGCCATCTGACAGGCAGAAGTTGCTTCATGCTCAAGGACACATAGCAACCTCTGAAGGAGCCCTAGTGTTCCACAGAACCCTTTTTGAGGATTCCTCCACAGGTTGCCAGGTGCTCCTTGAGCAGTGAAAAGGTCTGAATGCAGGAGGTCTGGATAATTACCCAAAACTAATTACCCAAAACTGGTATCTTTTTGTACATTGGGGTTTCAAAACCATTCTTCACTTAGATAACGTCCTCCATGATGCAGTCCCTTTTAAATAATGTAACAGTTCTTAATTCAAAGCAATATAATGGTCCTTTGATATCTAATAAAGCTGTACTTCCTCCACTAACAGGAAGTCATTTATTTCTTCTTTCCTTTCTCAAGCTCTGTGACACATGCAAACACTCAGTGATTATATGCATTCAGCTTGTACAATGGTCCCCAATACAGATCAAGGTCATAACACACTTGTTGCCCCATCTGCCCTCAGTACTCCTCACCACAGATACATCACATGCAAAAATAGAATGGGACCACAATGGTGCTCTCTGAATAGTAACAATTTATTAAAAGCTCCTAATATCAACACTTTCATTTAAAAATCACCCACAGTGCTATGTATCTCAGCATGAATAAACATGGGTCATAGTGATTAGTATAGCCAGTGTCATACCCACAGTGCTACTCCAAATGCTGTATGCGTTACTCTCCTGTACCAGAGCTTCATCAGCCTATACTGTACCTTCCCGGCATCCTTATGTCAGCATATCTCAAACTTTTAAAAACATAGGAACCCTTGTAGTTGTTAATGTCACCCTGAAATCCTTGGCCCAACTCTCCCAAGACTTTAACGTGCCTCCCACATTCTATTATTGGAGGATGCAGCTCGCCCATGCCTTCTATGCTCAGTTCTCCAGGGCCTCTCCTGCCCTGCTCTAATCTACCCTGGAACAAGTGCTCAGAATGGACTGCACTGAAAAAGACACCTCCCACCTATATGCTCATCTAGTATCAGTTTCTCTGCCTGCGATGGAACCTTCGAGACAGGTCGTTGAGAGATGCTCCGGACCTGGATAATGATGATTGAGATGCTATTTAGAACCTTCTTTTCAGAACTCTGGTCTCCCTCCATGATAGGCTGATACAATTTAAGATTGTGCATAGAGAATATTTTACACCATCTAGGCTTCACAAAATGTACCCTACTTGCTCCCCGGAGTGTTGAAGATATGGAGTGGTGGAAAACATACTACCAACTGGAGCTGAAAGGACCCTTGCTAATGCAAGAAAAGATATAACTTTACACTGGAAGAAGTCCATCCCCACCTCCTTCTGGAAGAATCTGGTGAATGCTAGTTTACCTCTCTACAAGGACACCTACATACACAGGGACAGCCCCGTGAAATATGGCAAAGTTTGGTCTAAATGGCTTGCGGAACCCGCAACTGCATCCTCTCTACATTTTACTAGACCTTAAGGGGTTTCTGCACTCAGTTTATGTTCTTCTGATCAATCAATAAATTCCTTCAATTCCCACCAAAATTTTTGGGACACTATTGAAAGTGGATTTTGGACACAAACTACATATTTGTATTTTTATATTATTTTATTTATATTTTATTTGTATATGAATTAAGTATTTGTAGAATTTATTTTAGGGTTGTATGTGGGATTTAGATGGTTTTTCACAAAAAGGATATGTTGGATTATGTTCTTCTGAGTCCACACAGATTGTAATATCTCATCCTGTGATTTATTCTGCATTTACTGTTTATTGAGCACAGAACTCTGGGCCACATGTGTTTGTGTTCTAAGCGTACACTCCACTCGTGTCATGCTGATGTGAATTGTTCCATGTTGCCCCTGCGTGGGTATTTACCTGTTTGTTTGTTTTTTGTGTTTGCAAATTTTTAATTTTAATAAACAGATTTCTTTAAAAAAAAAAAAAAAGGAACCCTTGATATACTTTCAGGTCCTGGGGAACCCCTATTAATAAATACACTATCTACAGTTCACAATACATTAGTTGAAGGTCACTGGGAAAAATGCTCCTTACAGTTGCAACCATTGGGAAGAATTCCACTTCCTTTTAACCCCTTTGCGCCTAAGGGCAAAACAAATGTTAATGCCTAAACACAATTTTTCAACTTTGTCATGTGTTAGTAAAACTGCACATATCATCACAACTACTTTGTGCATCCAGGTGAATTATACCTTGCTTTTGTTCAAGACAAATTGGGCTTTGATTTGGTGGTAAATGGTAATGGTTATCTCCAGATTTTTTGTAATTGTCAAAGGGAAACTGGCCCAAAATGGTAAGAAAAATTTTTTTTTTTTTAATTTAGCTGTATATTTCTTGTTGCTACCATAACCCACCCCCAAAGAAAAACCCAGAAACAATAGTGCACATTTTTCTTTTTTGTTATCCCACCTAAAATACACTGACACTAACTAAGAATGATACAAAACAAAAATGATGTTAAAAAAAAATACTGACCCTGACCTTTGACCCAAACAATAACCATGGTTTTTTTTTTTTTTTGTTTATTTTTCAAGAAATAGACTGTAAAGTGACATAACAGCTTCAAACAGTATATAAAACAGAAACAAGGCACAGCTGAAGTGTACGTTTCAAAAGGTACAATCATGTAGAGTAAAGAAAGAGAAAAGAAAAAAAAGAGAGAAAATAATTTAAGTACTTGAGCAATATAAGTAGAGAGGTAGGCAGAGTTATACAGCTACCAACAGAGTAACTCAATCAATCCAAACATGGGTGTTCCATAGTAACATTGTACTATTTTGGGGAAGTGATCAGTATTTTTTTTTTTTTTTTACACAATTTGCTTATAGCAAAGAATTAGTTTGCTATAAGCAAGCATTTACCTGAATGACATCGATTCATTCAGGGTTTTTCTTTTTTTTTTTTGTGTTTAGCTGTGATTTGGCCACGGCTAATCACATGACACAGCTGGGCTGTGATTGGCCCAGCTTGTGCATGTGATCGCTGTGACCATTCACAGCTAGGCACTAGTATACAATGGATGGCATGAATGAAGCCATCCATTGTATACAACTGTCATGTGACCTGCTGTGATTGGTCACAGCAGGTCACATGGTACCGGAAATGGGGCCGGTACTCAGATCTGTCATTGGCCGTGTCCGAGGTACATGCTCTGCAGGCGCGCAAACTGTGCATGCCCGAAAGGACGCCATATGGCATCCATCTGGAAAGGTGAGGGTTTTTTCCGGCTGCTATTTGGCCATAGGCCGGGCAGGAAGAGGTTAATGTCCAGGCTCAGCAACAAAACTTCTTTAGAATGCAAATTGGCATCCTGAATAACGTTTAATGTGAGAAGAATGTTGTCTGTGATAAGTCTGTCTGGGATAGATCCCGATTGGTCCGGAGATACCAAAGAGGAGATAATATGGGCCAACCTATCTGCCAGAATGTGGCTGAATATTTGCAGATCATTGTTCATTACTGAGATTGGTCTATAGTTTTGAGATAGATGATGGTCTTTTAGTGGTTTAGGTAACAGAGACATGTTAGCCAACAGCATCGCCTCAGGAAACCTACCTCCCTGCAAAACATCATTGAATAATGACATCAAAAAGGAGCTAATGTAGGGGCAAAATGTTTATAATAACTGGCAGTAAACCTATCAGGGCCAGTGCTGTGGAAGTTCTTAGTGCGCTAATCGCACGGGTTATTTCCTCCAAAGTGCATGGGGCATTGAGAGAGGATATCTGAGAGGGTGTGAGAGCAGGGAGGGGTATAGAATCAAGCCATGAGCTGTTTGGGGAGCAGAAGTTGTTTGCGGGGGGGGGGCTAATAGGGTGGAATAAAAATTTTCAAAAATACCCAGGACTTCACGAGGAAGAGAGGAGATACTGCTGGATTTAGTACATAACTTGTAGATATGTGGGGGTCGCATAGAATGGTTTAATTTC